AGTGGAGACAGTGGGAAGAAAAACTCCCTTTAACAGGAAGAAACCTCCAACAGAACCAGCTCAGGACAAGAGACCATCTGCTCTGACCGGCTGGTTGAGAGGACAGGAAGGAGAGACAGAACATGTACCATCAATAGTTTCTGTTTGTTTTTGTTTTGGTGTCAACTTCCCATCCAGAACAGAAGCAATTTGAAGCAAATATTAAAGTGATCATAAATATTTAAAGGTTGATGTTTAACTGTGCCCTGCGCTTTAAGATGCAGTTTTATTTCGCTCAAATGAAAACTCAAATAAACCCACTTGTAGAGTTCTAACCTGGATAAAACAACACAATACAACGTTGATTTCTTGGATTTTCTTTAGTTTAATTTGCGATTGTTTTGTATGTTTTTCAGGGACCTGAATGGAAACAACCTGACCGTCATATCCAAGAAAGACTTCTCTGGTCTCAAATACCTCAGAGTTCTGTGAGTTACACTTTTTTCTCTATTAAGATCTAAGGTATTCATTCTATTCAGCAAATGTTGCATAAAAAAACTATAAAATGCTTTTGTAAGTAATTTTAACAAGTCAAAACATACAAGTGATTGCTGTAAATACAGATACCAAGAAATTGGTATGTACTTTGCAAACACGAAGTTTACTGAAATAACTTGAAGCTGACATAATAACAATTTATTACTTTTTAAATAAGAACAACTTGTGAATTTTGGTTCAACAGAAACATTTTAAACAACAAGCTAATGAATATGGCCTTGTCAAAAAGGATAGTACTCCTAAAAAAGAAGATAAATTGTCCAGTTAAACTTGTTAAAACTAAGATGTTAGTCTGCTGTTTAAAGAGTGAAAAGTAGTCACTGTGCTGCTTGGTATCATGGTGTGTATTGAACATGGACCACAGAAAGCTCAGGAGATGCCTCAGGAGCTTAGAAAAAAGGCTCAGTTGTGGTCTGGAGTTGCTTTGGTGCATCTGGCACTGGGTGTCTTGAATCTGGAATCTGTAAAACAGTGGAGTTCTGTGGGTCAGGTAGAAAGGTTCAGTACAACCCATTGCTCTCCTAGCCGCTCTGGTCCACCAGAAATTCACTGAGACCTACGCAGTCAATTTGCAGCTCGGTTAGATCCACCAGAACCCCACTCTCCAGTCCCTTCCTGCCTCAGGCTCAGGCACCGGCCTGTCATGGCAGCCGTCTCCATGACCCTCCATCTGCCTGCATGGACCAAACTCTACGGAACAGTTCGGTTCTGCGGGGAACTTTGAATGTTCTGTGTCTGCCAGACCCGGATCTGGAGGGCAGTCATCGTCTGTTGCCGCAGTTGTTATTATCATATTTGCTGCTAACAGGACCATGCTGCTAACAGGAACATGCTGCTAACAGGACCATGCTGCTAACAGGACCATGCTGCTAACAGGACCACACTGCTAACAGGACCATGCTGCTAACAGGACCATGCTAACAGGAACACATTGCTAACAGGACCATGCTGCTAACAGGACCATGCTGCTAACA